GCAGGGTGTCAGGAAGACAGCTTAGGAGATAGAGCGAGCTCGCGAGTCCGACGGAGGGTAGGTGGCGGGGGGTGGCGCCTGCGGATGAGCTAGCAAATCGAGTCGTGCACTATAGAATTAATATCAACACGTGAAATGTCCACACCATGATTGATGCAGGACCGGGCGACATTTTTTTCCCGTCCCTCCAGCCTCCGCAGCCTTTTCGCAGCTGCCATCAGCGATTTTGATTGAATGAACGCGGAAAGGGGCACAGCGTGACGATTTTCGCTCCAGCTCTCTCTCTCTCTCTCTCTCTCTCTCTCTCTCGTTCTCTCTCTCTCTCCACTCGCTATTTACTCTTTCACTGCAATCAAAAATTATTTCTTATTATTATGAAAGTCCGCCAGAGCCCGCGCGCGCGACGTAGCCAGACTTATTGGAAACTGCCGTTACAAGAGGGCCAGGGCCCGCCGACGTGAAACGTCAGGTTTTGCCAACTGTAGACCCCCCCTCGCCCCAGCCACTACCTTATAAGGACCTTCAGGTCCTGCACGGCTGAGCAGGCCCGCGATCTTGCACTGCAACTGTGTTGTAACTCTGTAGCCCTCCGCTTCACTGTCTGGGAAGTACCTCCGGAAAGTGTAGGCTACGCAAAAAGGACTAGAATCAAGACAAGAACACACTCTTTGAGGTGCGCGCGCTCGCCCACGTACACGACCCAGGAGTGGCGAGGAGATGCTGCGCTTGCCCCCCCCCCCCTCCCCTATCCTATTACAAGTACAAAACAGATTCCTTGCCGCCCCGAATTAAAATCCATTTGCATGGCAATGTCCGGGCGGTAAGGCCTCCAGATAAATATGCGCCCCTTGTGCGTCGAGCAGCCGCGCCCCGCGTCGCCGCTCTGGAAAATCAATTTGGCATCGTGCCTCGTGGCGGGGCGTGGCGGGGCGTGGCGGGGCGTAGCGGGGCGTGGCGGGGCGTGGCGGGGCGGGGCGTGCCGGAGCGAGACGGGGCGTGCCGTCGGGAGTGAATCACGATGGAATTATTACAGAGGCTTGACCGACAGGGCGGGAGCAGCGGCCTCGAAGAATTCGCCGGAATCGTCTTGAAGTCGAAGTAGACCGTGCAAATTGTGCAGTTTGTCTTATCGAACGTTTGAAAAAGATAGTGAACCATACGCTGGAACCCTCCAACCACCTATCTCCGACGGGAGTCATGTCTCACAGCGGACGCTTTACAGTACAGAGAGAAATTCGTTGCAAAAAATAATGCGATAAGGTTTTATCATAAATTTTTGTAAAAACCTACGACAACCTTATCACGAATGTTTGCGATCATGCCCTTAGCACGGGAGTCGCAAAATATCGGCTATATCGCAAACATTTAAAGAAAATGTCGCAAACAGAACGGATTTCTGTGCTGCTCTTATGGCAGTCGGGCATCAGCGGCTGATTGTTCTCTGGCGCCCGTGATGGGGGAGAGAGACAGAGTAAAATAGAGGGAGAGGGAGAGAGAGGAAGGGAGAGAGAGAGAGAGAGAAAGAGAGAGAGGGGGGGACGGGGGAGGGGAGCGTGAGGCACCGCGGAGAGCGAGGGCGTCGGTATAAAGAGAGGAAGGGGGAGATGGCGGCGGGTGGTGGGGAGAGGGGTGTTTGTTTTTGCTCAGCCAATCAAGAGACCTCACGTTCGCGGGCCTCGATCGCTCCGCTCTCCTTCGACTCGACGAGCATCAGCGGCGCAGCTTGAGGAGGCGCGTCTGACGACGCTTTGCTTGGGCTGGGCAGAGGCAGTGCGCCAGACCTGGCCTGCTGACGCCCCGCACGGTGAAAACTGTTCCTCGTTGTCCAAGGACCATCGGAATCGGAACGATTCAAGCAGCCCCTTGCAATTTTTCCTATCCCGTCCTTGAATGATTCCGAAGGTCCTTGGATAACAAAGGAACAGCGCGCGTGAGGAAGAGGGGGAGGGGGGTGGGGGTCGGTCAGTCCGGGCCTAAAGCAGGGCAACGAGCGGGACTAAAATATATTGCATTTTGACAGCCTTCCGGTGAGAAGCAAAAGTAAGAGAGAGGGGAAAGGCAGAATGAATGACACGTGCAGACGGACAGACAGGCAGAGGAAGGAAGAGGGTGGGAGGGGGGGGGAAGTATACGACGGATAAAAGGAGGAGAGGAAGGCCGAGCAGAGCGAGAGCAGAGCGAGAGCAGAGCGGTGACAGGAGGCGTTCTATTTGCACGCAGAGCGCTCGGACGTTTCCGTGAGGAGGGTGCGCTATCGAGGCAAAAGAGCAAACGAGAAGCAGTAGAGGAAAATAAAAAAGGGCGGTACAGAGTAGCGCTGCACGAAAAAAATATATATCTGTAGGTGAAGTAACATTAGCTGATGCGGCATTACAGGTAAGCATGAGAAAAGGGCGCCCTTCTCTCATGCTGTAAGCCATACTGATACGCAATGTAGCCAAACATTGCCTTAAAAGCCTTAAAAGCCATAAAAGCTGCAAAATGTTAAATTACACGGCTATTTTTTTTAGCAGCATAAACCAAATAAATCGAGTATTTAGCTATTGGTCTATCGACTACAGCAAATCTTTTCTTTTTTCGTCTTGCCAACTGCCGACGGGTATGAGACACGGACATATGGCGCGAATGGTTGGAGAAGACCATACGAGAACGAGTCTACCTTTTCAAAACAACGGGGCAGAGCGCCCACGCCCACCCTGTATATAAAGCAAAAGAGGGGTAAGATGGGTAGCGTTGACAATGGTCATCAATGACCACATTGTGGTCACCAACCAGCATGGCCCAGTATTATTGTCAACAATACTGGGCTATAGCCCTTTTAAAATAATATTATTACTAGAAGGAGCGGGGTAAGATAGGTAGCGTTGACAGTGGTCACAATGACATTTTACACCTATTCCTTTAAATGATGCTTGTTATTTAATTTAAGGTACAATATGTAACGTATGTTAATTTTAAAATGTTTAATTGTAGTTGTACAATATATTTAAATCACAATGTTTCTAAATTTGTAAAACGCTTTCCGTAAATTCCTACAGGTATTTTTGACACGTTAAAAACTGAAACGTAAATTCATCAAAAGATAAGGCCGTATCATCTGCTTCCACGTTAGCGCGAGCTTATTTTTTTTTGACAGTAATGCCCCCACATTGGAACAGGAAATTGCACTTATTTTATGATATGTTGTAGTAAGGACGGTTTGAGTATAATTTTGATTTATAGGGGCGGTATGCTTCTATTGGAATTTCCTTCCCAAGATTCCATTCTGAATATTCCGAAAATCGAAGTATCGTTTGAGTTATATGCCGATAAAGACATATGGTGAATATGATGACAGTAAAGTGCCCCAACCCCGGGGCACATACTGTCAATTACAGAGGTCTCCCGAGGCGCAACATGTATCGTTTCCCCACTTGTCGAATCTCCTGTCGTCTCTCCTGCTGTCCCCGCCGTATCTCATGACGTCTTCCCTCCTGAAGTCTACTCTTATAGCAGACGGTGACACGGCATAAGTAAGAATTACATCAATTACATTTCCGTCCGCATTCGGAGAAGTGGGGCTCTCCGTCTTTGAGGCATGATAACCTGCTCATACGGTAGGTGTTGTTGCGTCGGTATGTATTGCTGCGTCGGTATGTGTTGCTGCGTCTTGCTGCCAGCCTCTTTCCCGTCCTTCGGGCCGTCTGCCTCGGTGAGTGCGGTCCGCGCCGCCAACAGGAGGCACAGGGCCTTGTTGAGGGGGTCCACGGGGTCCTTCGTGTTCCGGAGGGTCCCCGTCAGGATGCGGTCGCCGCCCCGCAGAGTCACGCTCCAGGACTCTTTGGCCAGCAGTGTGAGGGCGTGCTGGGTCTCCTTGTCCTGCAACTGGCGCTGAACGCTCTGGAGCTGCCCGGCCGCCTGCTCCAGCTCGCCCGCCGGCAGACTCCGCTTCATCGCGGCCTTGATGTTGATGACCTCGTGCTCGTCCCTCTCGTCGTCCCAGCACCGAGGCCCGGCTTTGGTGGTGCAGCTCATGCACCACGGGCGGGAGAGCCTGTCGCGGTGAAACGATGTTGTAATACGGATCAAATTATCTATAATACGGACAAATTCGTCCGTCTTTCTGATGATTTGTGATCTATATTACGTTTGCACAAAATTCTCCGGAAGCGAGTCCGTAAGGAAATGAGAGTGTGTGCACTGATAAACCAAATATTCAACAGTTTAACACCTGTGAGTGTGCAAATACAAGTCGAACACAAGTTTGCCACTCCGTATGTGTACACTTGCAAGTGTGTAACTAGTAAGTGTGCAACTCCTCTGTTCAACTCTTCCTGAGATTGGACGCCCTCTCCGTGGGGAGTGCTCAACAGAGGAGGTGACAGTACACTTACAAGCACACAACTACCTACATGAACACTTGCAAGCATTCAACTTGCAGTTGCACACTTTTGGGTTGAGTTGAGCAATTGAATACTTGGTTTATCTGTATGAGCAGGACTCGATGCAGATCGGTGTGAACCTGGCTCCGATAACGACAAAGGCGTGCTGAGACGTACCTCGCGTCGCCTTGGCACTGTATCAGCTTAAAATTGTTGGGAAGCGACTCAGGGGAAGCACTGTAGGCCTGAGGGCGAGAACGGGCTACAGTTAGCGGCAATGTTTCGATCGTACGTCTTACTATGAGCACATCAAAACACAACACCCTCCGTCAGATCTCACCGTCCGGCATATGAGGCACCTTCCCCTCTCGCTCCCCTGGAGGCACTGCAGGCACACGGTGTGTCCGCACGGCACGATCTTGGGGACGCGCCTCTCCTGATTGAACTCCTCAAAGCAGATGTCGCACTCCATGTCGCTGATGGCGAAGGTCTAGTGCTAGTCGTCTGACTGGTCGTCCTGCCGCGGCTGTCTCGCCAAATCGCGCTAGCGGCCGGCGGCGATAGCGACTGATAGCAGAGATATGGATCAAGACAGGGAATACCTTATTCTCTGCGATTGAGAAGTGCGCTGCACCATGAGAGAGCACTGCAAACAAGGAACATGAATCTGACATATGTGTCATGTCAATCGATGTGGATGTGACGAGTTTGAGGTCAGACCAATTGATGCAGCAACTCCATAGCTTGTGAGCTCATACCAAAAACGTGACCAAAAATAAGGTCACGCCACACATGCAACATACCAAGGATTTTACACTTGTAATGTGACACGTGTCAGCAGTTTTGCCAGTCAGTGAGAGAGTGTATGTATGTTCCTGAGGGGTAGCCTCCGGACTACGGCGGTGGAGTTGTGACGCTTTCCTGAGGGCATTAGCCGCGTCTGTTCGACACGCTGTTTGCTGTCGTGATGTTACCCGGTCTTGCTAACAAGAAGTACGCTGCTCCTTGTCTTCCATTAGGAGCCCGCCGTCTCGCGCTCGTCTGTGCACCCTTTACGGCCTTTTATGTAAAACGGCGAAAGATGGCTCAAAACAGTCTGCCGATGAGGGTAATAAAATTTGTCTCCATATTCCTGCATTCCAGATGTTCTGTTTCCCGTGACTCTTCCCTCTGTTAGCGTGCGCCGTGCGCGTCAGTAGAAGCGCGACGCGTGAAGCCCTTCTGTCGGGCAGGACAATAGTTTGCTCCTATAGCTTCCTGCACTGCGTTGACGTTTGAGGCCGCGGGGTCGAAACCATGGCTTTCGGTTATGGTGGTCGTGGCACTCACGAGGAGGCGTCGGCGCGGCTCGCATTCTTCCCCCAGGATCTACCCCCGACCCCCAGCCCCCCTTTCTCTCCAATCCCCGACAATACGGCACGCCAGAAGTTTCGCCCCCCGACTTGTTGTTGTCCGTCTCCGCGCATTCGCGTGCTTTCGACAGGCCTCCGTACAATATATCCCGGGGGGCTTTCGTCGTCGAGAAAATATGTTTTTTTTCGGTAGCCGAACAGCAAGCAGCCAGCTCGAGAGGAGTAGTGGGGGAAGCGGGCAAGGGTCAAGAGGCGGGCGCGTAATAATTGGATTCAAGGAAAATAATTGCGAGGGAAGAAAACAATAAACTCGCAACAGAGCGAGAGACACGGGTGTTGCTTCTTATTAAACGTCTCAAGTCGTTTAACGCGGCCGCCCGCAAGGTGTCCGCGAGGACAGAGAGAGGGAGAGGGAGAGAGAGAGAGAGAGAGAGAGAGAGAGAGAGAGAGAGGCGACGCAAAAACGGAGAGCGTAAAATACAGCCGATGAAAAGGGTCCCGATTCGGCTCATTTCACGGCAGCCTGCAATAGCATCGAGTGAGAGAGACGGAGAGAGATACAGGGGTAGGGGGACGACAGCGGCGGCTGCGACTGAGCAGGAGGGGGTGGGTCGGAGGGGGATGAGGCTGCTTGAAAACTGCGAGAATTTATGAGAGTTGTTCAGGGGTCTTGCAGCGACACGGCTGCCCCTCCCCCTCCGCTCTGCAGAGGATAGCGAGCGGCTCGCTCTTGTGAACACACAATTACCCACCCACTGGGGTCCCGCACCGCGCCGCGCGGACTCGACCAACGACGTCGACCCCAATCGGCAGCGCCGCGCATTTCAAATCGAGACAAAAAGAGATTAATAAACCAGCGCATAGCCGCGCCCCGGCGCAGGGACAGGGTGGGCGTGGCGGGGGGCGCGGCCGGCGGGGTGGGGCATGGTGGTGGGGTGGGGCGGTCGTGGTGGGGTGGGGTAGAACCGGGGCGACGGGTCTTTATAAAGCGAGACAGCCGTCTGCACTCGATGGGGTCCGCGCGTCTCCTCGCATTACCACCGCAAGGTGGATTAGATTGGGTCGGTCAATTGATACACGTCACGAAAAAAAATGTGTTGGTTGTCAGAGCTTATAAATTAGTTAATTTGATGACAGCCAGCTAATTTGCTGTGGCAGCTTATAGTTAGTTGTCAGAGCTAAGAGTTGGCTGCTATTAGATTAAGCTGTGCTGAGGCCGCACAACCATCCTGTTGGTTCTGGCACCCGTTGGGTTAAGTCATTAGCACGGCGACAAAACTTTGATGCCCAGGACAAAACGTTTGGTGCGTCAAAAACTTTCGGCCTTGCAACAAAATGTTTAGTGCTCAAGACCAAAAATTTTCTTCAGTGCACTCTTATAGACGCACAGCAATGCCAATACCGAGTTGAACACTTGCAAGTGCACAATTGGGGACTTCAATATTAGCAAGTTACACGTGTTCGGCACTTGCACACTTGGTTCATCAAGCGCAGATGAGCGTAGTGAGTGAAAAAGATAAAGATAAAGGGGGAGACAGAGGGTAGGGCAAATGGGAAGAAGACAGATAGAGAGAGGGGGGAGGGCAGATGGTAAAGTCGAATGTATGGGACCTTTGAAGCGCCTGTGAGCGCGCGGGTAGGCAGCATGGTGCGCACGTGCGCTCGGCGGGTCGGCCTGCCCTCCTGGGGGGCCTCCCTCGTCGCGGAGACGCCCCAGCCCCAGAGCCCAGCACTCGATTCCACAAGCTCTCTTTTAGGCGCCATCTCATCACTTCACAACATCCAGTTGCAGCAGCAGTGGCAGAGTGGTGGGTAAAAGGGCGTCGACGCTCTCCGAACAGCAGAGTGCCACTCACGGTTCACCTGCTACCCCAGCCTTACTTTTTTTGAGAAGGGGAAGGGGGCATTTCGTTTAAAGCCAACGGTGCACTTGTTTTACCGCCTTCTCGATACGAATGGAATGACACTTGTGCATCATTTTCAAAGATAATAGGTTTTTTTTAGTGCGTGCGAGTGTGTGTTAACATTGGCTCGAGGCAGCTCAGTGTCCCTGCACCGTATGCTGTGCCACTGTACGTGCCGAAACGCAGCTTAAGATTGGGCCACTACACAGCATATAACTGCAAATAGCGAAGTTCAAATCGCGGAGAGCAACACGCCGCGGGCTGAACAAAACGGTGCACCGACGTCGGATGGTGGAAACGTCATCCGGTAACAGGGCGCTGCGCCGGTGTACAGCGCACATCCCCCACCCGCTGCCGATATAACGCCAAAGATAAACAGGACCATCAGACCCGCGCACCATCGGCTGCCATCAGCCGGCGGGCGGACGCGTCACAGCGTCAGTCGCGTTCGAGCAAACAGAAAGCGCGCGCGGGCACGCCTTGTTCGATATTACGGGCGGGGTAATTATTTCCGTCGTTTCGTTTGACAACCATGATCACGCGCCAGCAATCTTCCCCGGTCGCTCCCCCCTTTTTCCTTAGTCCCC